ATTTCTTGACGAAGTGTTTTGTTAATCATTGTTGCATGTTTCATTTCTTGATGAAGTGTTTTGTTAATCATTGTTGCATGTTTCATTTCTTGATGAAGTTGTTTGTTAATCATTGTTGCATGTTTCATTTCTTGATGAAGTGTTTGTTAATCATTGTTGCATGTTTATTTGGACTACCAAGCATTCGTCTAGTTCATAAAGGAATAATATGTTTATAGACATTTTTTGAATGCAATATTTCTAGAAATTCCACCAATCAAAGCACCTGTTGGTCAAACCCCCAGTCCCAACGTGAAGAATGTTACTTCAAAAATAGGATCTTTTCAAAATATGAAACATAAACCAGGAGGAGGAGAAAAGAAAGTAAGTATGAAGTATCACGTCGACTACAGTTTACTTCAGTAATAGTTTTACATGCAATATTTACATAAACCAGGAGGAGGAGAAAAGAAAGTAAGTATGAAGTATCACGTCGACTACAGTTTACTTCAGTAATAGTTTTACATGCAATATTTACATAAACCAGGAGGAGGAGAAAAGAAAGTAAGTATGAAGTATCACGTCGACTACAGTTTACTTCAGTAATAGTTTTACATGCAATATATCACGTCGACTACAGTTTACTTCAGTAATAGTTTTACATGCAATATATCACGTCGACTACAGTTTACTTCAGTAATAGTTTTACATGCAATATTTATTTTAGGTTTCATTGATAACTGTACTTAGAACTTTTCAGATTTAATCCAGACCTGTCTAATTTATCCTTCTGGAGATGTAGCACTCCCAAGGGTTTACATGCCTTACATCTACAGAAAAGAAACACTGATTCTCATGTTACATAAAAATTTATTTTTTATAACTGTATTTAAAGGATGTATTTTGGATAAGTAAATTTATAGTATTCTTCAATAATCAAAGTAAACTTAATTAAATTTTCATTTCTGAGTATGATTTGATATAATTTTTGCCATCAAGAATTGCTTATTAAAACTAAACTGAAGTGTGGAAAGGCTTTGTTATCAGCAAGTACTCGTTAAATAATTGTATTTGAAGCGTAGTATTATAATTTTCTTATAAATATTTTTTGGAAGTATAAAAAACATTGCTAAAAAGTTCATAATGCTCAGGTGATATGTAGGAATACTGCAGTTGGTAACACGTAAGTATGCCAGAACTTTAGTATTGAAATCTTACACCAAGTCAGAAAACTTTTACGACTATCACAATTCAAATAAAGATGTACGACAATGTTATTAAATTTTTTACTTTTAAATTAGTGCCTTTTGAGTTTGCTTTGTTTAGAAAAAAAATCATCAATTTTTTCTTTTTAATTAGAAGGAAAAAAAATTTAAATGCAGTTATTAAACCATTAGCTGAATTGTTTTTATTGTTTAGGGAATGAAGGTGTTATAATTTTCAGTGAAGAAGCTGATAGATTTTACCCGTTTTCTCAGTAACATTACAAGTACGTTGAGAATTCCACAATATTGCCGTATGATTCGTCAAAGTAAGAAACGGATGTTTCAAGGTTGAGGTGCTGTTTCTTTTACTGCAAGTGTTTACATGAAACTCTGTATCATAGTAAAATAAATGTCTGTTGAATATATATATATATATATGTGATTCCATTGTGAACCTTGTAATTTAAAAGCTTTGAAATTTACTTAAACATTTTAACGGTGATGTTAGGTTGTAACGCAGAAGCTCGAGTGGAGTGCAACTTCTAAAGTGGGTTCTTTAGAAAAAGCTACTCATAGGCCAGGTGGCGGTGCAAAAAAGATTCAAACTCAAAAGTTAGAATGGAAAGCTGAATCCAAGGTTGGGAGTAAGAGCAACTTGAAACACTCGCCAGGGGGAGGAAAAGTTAAGGTAGGACATCTAGTGTTGGTTTTCAAATAGAAACATGTAAACCATTTAAATACTGGACACTGAATGTAAGGATGTATATCTAAGTATTAGAATACTACTGTAGGAAGCTTTGTTATTGTTTTGTTTTATAATAAGTGATTTCTTTAAAATTGTTCAATTGAATCGTTATTATTAATTTTTAGTTACTTTTTTTAAATTCACCAGATTCTACGTACTTCAGAACTTGGTTTTCTAATGTTGTTCTTTGATTTAAGTACAGTTTTTATTTAGAAGTTTTAAACATTTGAATATCTCTCGATAACTTTTCATAGAAGAGTTTTAGATTTTTACGTTACATAAAAAAAGATATACAAGAGTTTTAATATTTTTGGTCTTGTATATAGGAAACAAATCATAATACAAAGTTTTCTGAAAGTCACTTTTTGTGACATGAGAATCTTACAGAAAAGAAAGTGAAAATCTTGTTAGTTTTTAGACAAATGAGTTTTATTATATTTGTATAAACAATAGTTAATAATGAACAACCTGTTGGAAAGTTTCTGTTTTACAATAATGTATCAAAACATCTTCAACAAACAAACCTTCCAGTAGGTTGCCCTTCATAATTCCATTTTATCCACTGATCCATCCGCTAGCCAAAACCTTCAAAGGAAATTATAATTAATATTCTAAACTCCATTATAGAATCCTGTCTAGTAATAACTGAAACTACAGAAAGCTTAGGTTACCCAATCACTAAATTTGAATATTGTGCTAACTATTTTCTAACAAATAGTATTAAAAAAAGAACAGGCTCAGTGTAATAAATATCTGTAATCATTAAAGCATAAAAATATTTTTTTTTCTTGTAGCAGGAAAGTATTTATCAGTTTTGTAAAAATATCCCCCAGTGGCTTAGTGGTAAGTCTGAGGGCTTATAATCCTAAAAACTGGGTTTCGATACCCATGGTGGGAATGGCACAGATAGCTCATTGTGTAGCTTTATGTAGCTCATTGTGTAGCTTTATGCTTAACAACAAATAAAGCTTGTAAAAATTAACTGTAAGTTTTACTTAAAGCATGAAAAACAAGCTGCTTGCAACAATTACTTTTAAATTTCATAGCATAAAATATTTTCTATTTGTGTTTGATTTTAGTTTTTTTTGTTTCGCAAATGATAAAAATGTTTCTATACATTTGACTATTTAATTCATTGATAATTGTCACCCAGTACTGATTTAAGATTTTTGTTTTTCTGTATTTCTCGGAAATAAACTGCATGAATTTTGTAGTTCTGGAATAGTTTTCTTCTTCTAGTGATAAATTTTGATTAGGCTTAGCATGAATTGATTTTTTGCAACAGTTTGATATTGAATGAATGTTAGCAAGCATGTTAACAAGCCTGATTACCAAATTTTTACTATTTCTGTCTTCAAGACACAGGAAGGAGCTTCACCCACCTCAAGAACTGTATGTATTTCTTTTACCTGATTTATGTAGTGATAAGTTTGAATTAGGCTTAGCATGAATTGATTTTTTTGTGGTATTTTGTATGATACGGAATGTTAGCATGTTACCAAATGGTTACTGTTTGTGTCTTCAAAACATAGGAAGGAGCTTTATCAACCTCAAGAGCTGTATGTATTTGGTTTTAGTTTCATTTATTTCACTCAATTAATTTTAATTTCCTGTACATTATTGCGTATTACCTCTTCAAAGTCCTTCCTATGATTGTCTTAACTTTAAGCATGAACACTATAATGTTTTATAAAAAACTTCCTGCATTTTTTAAGTTTTTTTTATCAGTTTTTCACCCAACCTTTGTTTGAAATGTTTATTGTGTTTTTTAATTAAACATTCACATCATGATATTCTGCTGTGTAAAAATAGAGATATTCAAACTAATTAGGGTCAGAATCTGTTTAGTAGACAGAAAACGTTTTATCATTATTTGTTTTTGTAAAACATAGTATTTTATTAAAAATATTTGTGTAAGTTTTGAAACATTATTTTTAATAAAAACCTAAAAAAAAGGAACCTACTGAGCTGAATAATTAATTCAAAAATACAGTAATGGCAACTTTTACAGTAAGAAACTTCTGATTTTGAATAATTACAATATTTCAACCCATAGTATTGAGTCGTCATCATCATCAGGTAAGAGTTACATCAAGATTATATTTTTGAATGTAACAGTTATCTGATGATGACTTGATACTACGGATCAAACATTTTAATTATTAAAACCAGAACTTGCCGACTGTAAAATTTGCCGTTATTGTACTTTTGAATTAATTAAACTAAGTAATATTTATGATTAGTTTCCTGTAAATGTATATGATGTGTGATTTATATGTTTTCAAAATTTGTGACTTAAGTCGATTACCTTATCTTACGTGTATCTTTGTATGGGTTTTAGATTGTTTGTAGAAGAAAGTTTAAATACAGAAAGGTGTCAGGTTACTTTTTCGCCTCAATGAATATGTTGTATCTAGATTGAAAACCGGAAAATGGAGTGGAAGGCCACATCAAAAATTGGTTCATTGGATAACATAGAACATAAACCTGGTGGTGGTGATGTTAAAATAAAATCAGAGAAACTCAATTTTCGAGAAAAAGCATCACCGCGAATTGGATCCGTTTCTGAGAGAGGAAGCAGTGTTGGTTCTGAAACACAGGTAATTTCATGTGATTTATTATAAACTGTTTGTTTCCAACAGGTAAGAAGTGCATGTGGGTTCTGAAACACAACAATTTATTACAAACTGTTTCTGTTTCGAATAGGGGAAACAGCATGTGTAATGAAACAAGTCTACAGGATTTATCACTAGGTGGATCTGTTTTTGAGAGGGGAAGTTGTGTTGGTTCTGAAACATACACTTACAGGATTTACCATGAGTTGGGTCTGATTCTAATAGGAGAAGCATCACGTGTGTCGAGACACAGATTTACCATGAACTGGTTTGTTTTTAATAGGAGAAGCATCGTGTGTGTCGAGACACAGATTTATCATGAGTTGGGTCTGTTTCTAATAGGAGAAGCATCGTGTGTGTCGAGACACAGATTTACCATGAACTGGGTCTGTTTCTAATAGGAGAAGCATCGTGTGTGTCGAGACACAGATTTACCATGAACTGGTTTGTTTTTAATAGGAGAAGCATCGTATGTGTTGAGACACAGATTTATCATGAGTTGGGTCTGTTTCTAATAGGAGAAGCATTATGTGTGTCGAGACACAGACTTACCATGAGTTGTGTCTGTTTCTAATAGGAGAAGCATCGTGTGTGTCGAGACACAGATTTACCATGAACTGGTTTGTTTTTAATAGGAGAAGCATCATGTGTGTGTCGAGACACAGATTTATCATGAGTTGGATCTGTGTCTAATAGGAGAAGCATAGTGTGTGTCGAGACACAGATTTACCATGAACTGGGTCTGTTTCTAATAGGAGAAGCATCGTGTGTGTCGAGACACAGATTTACCATGAACTGGGTCTGTTTCTAATAGGAGAAGCATCGTGTGTGTTGAGACACAGATTTATCATGAGTTGTGTCTGTTTCTAATAGGAGAAGCATCGTGTGTGTCGAGACACAGATTTATCATGAACTGGCTATCTTTCAAGTCGGGAACAGGAAGTATTAAGAAATTATTGTATCTATAAAGTGGACGATACTTCATTGTTGTTGTTGTTAAATGATACTGTGATGATATATTTTCACAAACATTAATTAGGTTCGTTTTCTTTATGAATTGAATCAAAGTATTTGTGACAGATTTTCTGAAATATTTACAATTAACTTAAAAAATATTTGAAAATAACTCTCATTAATTAATTAATTAAATGAGACGTTCAGTACAACTTGTCGAACTATGGGTGTCACACAAGTGGCACGTTCGGTACAACTTGTCGAACTATGGGTGTCACACAAGTGGCACGTTACAAGTTGTACTGCGAACTAAGGGTGTCGCACAAGTGGCACGTTCAGTACAACTTGTCGAACTAAGGGTGTCACACAAGTGGCACGTTCAGTACAACTTGTCGAACTAAGGGTGTCGCACAAGTCACTTTTTTTCTTTTAATGTTGTATACACCAAAATCAGCCATTCCCACATCTTTTTCGGAAGAGGTGGGGGGGGGGGATAATAATTTCTGTGTACAAGTCAGTTTTTAATTTTTGGTTCTGTTTAATCCAAACTTTTAGTTAGGCTTCTATAAGAACTTCATTAATATTTAAAATTATGTGTCTAAATTTAAGGTGTTTAATGTTTGACGACAAATCTACAGCCAATTGATATCTTCATTATAGAGTCCAGTTCCTTCGGTATCACCGCCACCAAGCGAGCCCCCTACTGAAATACATATTACCGAAGCGCCACCTGTGGAGAAGAACCCACCACCACCTCAAGAAAATGAAGACAACTCTAAATCGGTTGTTCAGCCTACAAGTCCAACACCTGAAAAGGATTCGAACGAAACAATTCTTTCATCCGAACCTAAACCGACTCCCGAGGAAGACACACCAGCAAATACAGCAACCGTCAGTGAAATCCCCGTCACTGCTACCGCGCCATCTGTGGACGAAAATATTAAACAGGAAGATACTCCACAAAGCTACTGAGAGAGAGAGATAGAAGTTGGAGGTTGAAAGAATAAAGATATCATTCAAGCCTTGAGGGAAAGGGGTGGGGTGGGGACTAATCTTTAAACTGTTAAAAACGTAAAATGTCTTGGGATCTTTCCCAGGTCTCTAAGCTCTGTTATATGTGTTTCATTGTTTATCTGTTTGCTGCTTAATACCGTAAAGTTTTTGTTCTATCTTACATCAGTGTTTATTATATGATAGTGATTGAAACTAGCGTTAATCACCTGTACTTGTAGCTTCTGACAAACACGTATGTTTAGATACCATTTTTGTTCCCACTGAATGTGTTTTATAGGAGTAATGGTAATTTACTTAGTACACCTAACTTCACTTGCAACAGGGCTAGTTTTTAATCATTCTTTCATTCTATAATATCTCAGTAAAGTTTTTCACCCACATTCCTTTGTTGCTTATTTTTATTATATATTTTACTTATGGAACTCGGTTTGTTGAAAAAATTACTCTTTAATTACAGTTCTATCACGAAAAGAAAAAAAACTTCGTGTTCCCTTGAGTCGGCCATCTTTAGTTTTTGATGGAAACATCACACCGACAGTCTAAACATAACTTTACTGCCAAACAAAATGGACAATGAATTAGAAAAATTATCATCAGTTTTACTTATTAAATTTTAGAATGTTTTATAACCGTTTTAAATCATCTTTAATAAATAACACCAGTTCGTTTCTTCAAATTTTTATCAAGTATGAATTTCTACCTTCATTTTATCGTAGTTCCATATTTCTCTTATAGATGTCGTTGAGGTTGAACTTCACCACTCCCACCGGAGATATGACAAATAATATTAGTTATATAACTCGATGTGAAACTTTCTAGTTAGGAACAAAATGTAGCTAATAACTGAACAATGCTCACCAGGTTTCGATACCCGCGGTGGGCAGAACACAGGCAGGCAGCCCATTTTGTAACTTAGCAACAAACAGTAACTGAACAAATTAATTGTCAAGTAGTTAATGATGTACCGAGTTGAACCATTTTGTTGTCTGCTGTTTGGGTCTCCGTAGTAACGAACCATAGAAACCAAATTGTTGTTATCCTACTACTTTTAAAAATATGCCGAGAACACATATATAGAGTAAGACATTGTTTTTTTGTTTGAATTCTGTCAGAAATAAGATGTTAGAAATTTGTTTTTCTGTTTAGAGTTTGACTTTGATAGTTCAAAAATAGGAAAGTCGAACCCTAAAATTCAGGGCTAAGGGGTGCTTTTCTGACTGTAAGTTTTTTTTTTTATAGAAAGTGTTAAATATGTGTTAAAAACATCCTAAGTAGGAAGCACACTTATAGCTAGGGTTTTTTAATATTAAATAAAGATTTGCTAGAACGCTAATTTAATCTCTCAACAATTGCTGACGTTTTATCAAGGAGAACTGTGATTCGTAGAGAAGACGAGTTTATCGTTTCAAAATGACCATGGTCTTCATCGTAGTGGTAGTTAGTAGGTCTCTTAACTGCGTTTATTTGAATACGATACTAGTTCGTATAATTGTCGTACAGTATGCACTGTGACATCATTATCACGTTCCAATTGGGCCATTTGTTTATGTTCCGTGATGTATATTTCAGTTGATGTTAATAAAGCTTTGGCACAACAAATTCTACTGGATAACCGGAGGATTGTCGTGAATATTTCTCCCTAAAAACGTACATGAAACTCTCAGATAATCCTTCCATCGAGAAGTCACGAGTAATAGCTACACCT